TCGCTCGGCTACCCCGTTCTGCTGCGGTGATGCTGGTAGCGTGTAAGACTGGATGATCCCCCGACCCTGACAGAACGTCTCCAGGCGAGTGGAAGAAAACTCACCACCACGGTCCGAGTGTAGGCGAAGCCCACACAGGCCCTGGGCGCCACCCCACGCTAGTAGCCACGGCTCGAGGACGGTAGGCACGTCGGCCTTCCGTCGCAAGGGGAAAACCGTGGTGTAGCGGGAGTAGTCGTCCACCACAATCAGGAAGTAGCGCTCCTGACGTGGGCCAAGGACCGGAGAGGGGCCCCAGACGTCCAAGTGCAGGGTCTCGAAGGGAGCCGTGGTGGGGGGGAACGAGGAGGAGTGAGGGGCAGCGCGCTGCCGACCCTCGACGCAAGGAGTGCACAGCGGCGCAGGCGAGCGGGGAAGCGGTGCAAGCGACCCTGGGAGACCTGAGACCAGACGGTAACGTGCCATCCTACTGAGACGCGGGAACGACGGGTGACCTAGACGGTGGTGCCAGAGGACCGACGGGTGGGTGAGGGACCGACAGTCACACGACACAGCAGCTACCTGACCTGACCTGACCTGACCCGACTCAGTGTGGTGGGACCCAGTGTGTAGTGAGTACAGACCAGATCCCGGCTCTCTGTGGAATGTGGCCAGGGGCGCCCCAGTGGCACCGACAGTGCAGGAGGCAACAGGCTCGTCCAGTGGGAAAGTAGTGACTACGCCTAGGTCGTGAAGGTGACTGACACCCACCAGGTTCCTAGAGAACGAGGGGGTGTAGTAACCTGTAAGAAAACCTGAGGGAGCCGCCGGACACGGAAGAGCGGTGGTGCTGCTAGCAACTACACGTCCCACAGAGGGGTCAGCCAAGGCGACAGTGACTGGAGTGCGCAGTGGTGTGAGGTCGGTACAGTCGCGAAAGAAACAGCTGGACGCTCCAGAATCTAGGGTGAAGGAAAGCTGTGCAGTCTGTGGGGTCGCACCCGAACCAGCTACAAAGGCTAGTGCTAGACTAGTGGTAGCTGCAGCTTCTACACAAAGACCCTCAGAGGCGCCGGGACTGGAAACAACACACGCACCAAGACTGGAAACACAGGTCTCTACTCGTGCAGCCGGAAAGGGTCCTAGACCAGGCAGGTGAGACTCAACTGGTGCAGTAGTGCGCTGGCGAAGGCGCGAAGGCCAGTGCGGTGTAATAGCGTGAGGACCAAAACGCTCACGGTGGAGGTCGTCGAGTCGACGGTAGCAGCTGGACGCAGTGTGGTCAGGACTCCAGCAGGTAGTGCCAGCACCAGGGCCTATCAGGGCCCGGTACCCGCAGGGGCCGACGTCTCGCCCACTGCTAGCTGAGCCACTGCTGGGGGCGCCACACTTTGGACCCGCAGGCCCCCATTGACGGGAGTGCTGCGGCTGGCCCTGCTGCTGTAGAACCCTAGTACATGCCATGTGAGCCTATGCTGCTGCTGGTTCTGCTGGGGGCAGCCTAAGCTGCTGCTGGTGCGCTGGGGGCAGCCTGTGCCGCTTCTGGTTCTGCTGAGAGGCAGCCTAGGCTGCTACTGGTTCTCCAGGGGGCAGCCAATGCTGCTGCTAGTGCGCTGGCAGTTGCCTAAGCTGCTGCTGGTGCGCTGGCGGTAGCCTAAGCTGCTGCTGGTGCGCTGGGGGCAGCCTATGCTGCTGCTGGTTCGCTGGGGGCAGCCTATGCTGCTGCTGCTGGTGCTCTGGCGGCAGCCTATGCTGCTGCTGGTTCGCTGGGGGCAGCCTATGCTGCTTCTGGCTCTGCTGGGGGCAGCCTTAGCTGCTACTGGTTTTGCTGGGGGCAGCCAATGCTGCTGCTGGTGCGCTGGTGGCAGCCTATGCCGCTTCTGGTTCTGCTGGGGGCAGCCTACGCTGCTGCTGGTGCGCTGGGGGCAGCCTATGCTGCTGCTAGTGTGCTGGCGGCAGCCTATGCTGCTGCTGGTTCTGCTGGTTCTGCTGGTTCTGCTGGTTCTGCTGGTTCTGCTGGTTCTGCTGGTTCTGCTGGTTCTGCTGGTTCTGCTGGTTCTGCTGGTTCTGTTGGTTCTGCTGGTTCTGCTGGGGGCAGCCTACGTTGCTGCTGGTGCGCTGGGGGCAGCCTATGCTGCTGTTGGTGTAGCTGGCGGCAGTGTAATCGGCGAGGGCTACTGACGGCGGGTGTGGTAGATCGTGGGGAGGCAGGTTTCAGGTGGGGAAGCTGTTAAGGCAGCGGGCTACGTGTGAGGCGGCGGTTCTGTGCAGTTCTGTGCGGTTATGTGCAGTACTGTGCGGTTCTGTGAGGTTCAATGCGGTGGAGAGGACTGGGTGGGGCAGCTGATTCCGGGTGAGGTGCCTGGAACGGGTGGGGCAGCAGGTTTCCAGGTGGGGCGGCGGTTGTCAGGTCTGGGGCGGTGGTTTTCAGGTGGGGAAGCTGTTAAGGCGGCGGTTCTGTGCGGTTCTGTGCAGTTATGTGCAGTTCTGTGCGGTTCAATGCGGTGGAGAGGACTGGGTGGGGCGGCTGATCCCGGGTGAGGTGCCTGGAACGGGTGGGGCAGCAGGTTTCCAGGTGGGGCGGCGGTTGTCAGGTCTGGGGCGGCGGTTTTCAGGTGGGGAAGCTGTTAAGGCGGCGGTTCTGTGCGGTTCTGAGGGGGATTTCAGGTCTGGGGGCCGGTTACGACGGTGGGCTGCACGTGCGCGCGGCTACGACGTACTGGCGCGGAGCTGCGGGTGCGACTAAGGCTGCACGCGCAGCTACGTGCGTTCGTCTGCTGCGCGCTAGAGGACTGGGGAGCAACACGCGGGGTAAAACGAGTGGGGCGCGGGGCTAAAAGCCGAGTGACGCTCGGCAAAAAACGGGTGGGGCGCAGGGCAGAAACGGGTGACGCGCGATGTCGACGGGGGGCGCGACCTACTCGGGCTCTACGGGGCAGGGCGCTTCGGGCTATGGGTCGCTACGAGGCGCGCGGGTGGTGGGCCCATAGACTATCGAGAGAAATTTCGCCTAAGGGAAAAAATTGCCTAGGGGAAAAATCGCCTAAGGGAAACCTAGCTCTATACCATGTTACGATAACAATGAATTGATAGAAAATGTGAAGTACAACCCTAGATATAGCAAACCCTAATCATGCAAGTAAGTAGAAATGTAACACCTAGACTAACCTAAACAACACATATAAAATATATGTTGACACAGGTGGGACAAGGTGAGACCAGGTGTGACCAGGTGTGACCAGGTGTGACCAGGTGTGACCAGGTGTGACCAGGTGAGACCAGGTGTGACTAGGTGTGACCAGGTGAGACCAGGTGTGACAAGGTGTGACAAGGTGAGACCAGGTGAGACCAGGTGTGACCAGGTGTGACCAGGTGTGACCAGGTGTGACCAGGTGTGACCAGGTGGGACTAGGTGGGACCAGCTGTGACCAGGTGTGACCAGGTGTGACCAGGTGTGACCAGGTGAGACCAGGTGAGACCAGGTGAGACCAGGTGAAACCAGGTGTGACCAGGTGTGACCAGGTGTGACCAGGTGTGACCAGGTGTGACCAGGTGTGACCAGGTGTGACCAGGTGAGACCAGGTGAGACCAGGTGAGACCAGGTGTGACCAGGTGAGACCAGGTGTGACCAGGTGAGACCAGGCGAGACGAGGTGTGACCAGGTGTGACCAGATGAGACCACGTGGGACCAGGTGAGACCAGGTGAGACGAGGTGAGACCAGGTGGGACCATGTGAGACCAGGTGAGACCAGGTGAGTCCTGGTGGGACCAGGTGGGACCAGGTGAGACCAGGTGTGACCAGGTGGGACCAGGTGGGACCAAGTGAGACCAGGTGGGACCATGTGGGACCAGGTGAGACCAGGTGTGACCAGGTGGGACCAGGTGGGACCAGGTGAGACCAGGTGTGACCAGGTGTGACTAGGTGTGACCAGGTGTGACCAGGTGTGACCAGGTGTGACCAGGTGTGACCAGGTGAGACCAGGTGTGACCAGGTATGACCAGGTGAGACCGGGTGTGACAAGGTGTGACAAGGTGAGACCAGGTGAGACCAGGTGTGACCAGGTGTGACCAGGTGTGACCAGGTGTGATCAGGTGTGACCAAGTGTGACCAGGTGGGACCAGGTGGGACCAGGTGTGACCAAGTGTGACCAGGTGTGACCAGGTGTGACCAGGTGTGACCAGGTGTGACCAGGTGAGACCAGGTGTGACCAGGTATGACCAGGTGAGACCGGGTGTGACAAGGTGTGACAAGGTGAGACCAGGTGAGACCAGCTGTGACCAGGTGTGACCAGGTGTGACCAGGTGTGACCAGGTGAGACCAGGTGAGACCAGGTGAGACCAGGTGAAACCAGGTGTGACCAGGTGTGACCAGGTGTGACCAGGTGTGACCAGGTGTGACCAGGTGTGACCAGGTGTGACCAGGTGAGACCAGGTGTGACCAGGTATGACCAGGTGAGACCGGGTGTGACAAGGTGTGACAAGGTGAGACCAGGTGAGACCAGGTGTGACCAGGTGTGACCAGGTGTGACCAGGTGTGATCAGGTGTGACCAAGTGTGACCAGGTGGGACCAGGTGGGACCAGGTGTGACCAAGTGTGACCAGGTGTGACCAGGTGTGACCAGGTGAGACCAGGTGAGACCAGGTGAGACCAGGTGAGACCAGGTGTGACCAGGTGTGACCAGGTGAGACCAGGTGTGACCAGGTGTGACCAGGTGTGACCAGGTGTGACCAGGTGTGACCAGATGAGACCAGGTGTGACCAGGCGTGACCAGGCGTGACCAGGTGAGACCAGGTGTGACCAGGTGTGACCAGGTGGGACCAGGTGTGACCAGGTGTGACCAGGTGTGACCAGGTATGACCAGGTCCTCATCTCACCCTTCCCTCCCTTCCCCTTCTCCACCTTCCCATTTCCCTCTCTCCCATTCACCAGCTTCAACGGACCCGACTTGTACCGCCTGCCTCGCTGGACAAGCTCGAGGCCCGACTTCTACCATTCTCCAGCTCCAACGGACCTGATTTCTATGGCCTCCCTCACACGACCGCACTCCTCGCTTAAATCCTTCCCTCCCTTCCCCTTTCCATATCCTCTCCTTCTGCCCTTCCAGGCGGGAGCACTGGACAAGCTCGAGGCCTTCACCAGCTTTAACGGGCCCGACTTCTACGGCCTGCCGCGCAACTCCCGTCGTGTCACTCTCATCCGCCAACCGTGGGCCGTGCCTGACTCGTACCCATACAGCGATGGGGGCTCTCTTGTGCCCATGCTGGCCGGGGAGCAACTAGAGTGGCAGGTGCTGCCTTTGGATCACTGAACGAAGCTCGAACAGATGTGAATCACCCCCACCCACCACCATCACTCTCATCCGCCATCCGTGGGCCGTGCCTGACTCGTACCCATACAGTGATGGGGGCTCTCTTGTGCCCATGCTGGCCAGGGAGCAACTGGATTGGCAGGTGCTGCCGTTGAATCACTGAACCAAGCTTGAACAGATGTGAATCACCCCCACCCACCACCATCACTCTCATCCACCAACCGTGGGCCGTGCCCAACTCGTACCTGTATGGGGAAGGTGGATCCCTCGTGCCCATGCTGGCAGGCGAGCAGCTGGACTGGCAGGTGCTGCCGTTGGATCACTGAACCAGGCTTGAATAGGCTTAAATTGTTAATAGATCCCGCCGCAACACTCTCGTCCACCAACCGTGGGTCGTGCCTGACTCGTACCTGTATGGGGAAGGTGGAGCCCTCGTGCCCATGCTGGCAGGCGAGCAGCTGGACTGGCAGGGCAGGTGCTGCCCTCTGACAACCGAACCAAGCATATGTTCCGATCCGAACCAAGCCTAGATCAAGCCTGGCTCATTCCCACTGTGACCCTGCTTCGCCAACTTGGGCCGCGCCCAATTCATACCGGGCAGCAGTGGGGGATCCCAAGACCTGCCATAGGTGCATGCTTGCAGGGGGGCAGCTGAAGTGGCAGCTGATGTGGCAGCTAAATGGCAGGTGTAGTGGCAGGTGCTGTCTATATATGTCCAATAATAACGTTGGATAAAGGTGTTTACTGTACTGTGATGCTTGATCCAGTTTGCCCGTTGGGCATCACAACAATAGAGGAGCGCAGTACACTTGACTCTTCATGAGGCTCGCATAGAGAGCTTACAATAAACAGGTACACTCTCATGGTCACCTCTTGCTCTGTTTTTTATAGTGCTCGATAAGCTTCACAACCTGCAAGTCATGCATCGGTTAGCTTTACGCGGCGCATGTGAGCTGAGCTATATGTTGCAACGTGCTCCTCCATGCATATAGTGCCACAAACCTCATGGCAGGGCAGTCAGTTATCTGGTGCTACTTCTGAGGCGCCACAACACTCTGTCTCCCTGCTCTGTCTGCTCCATGCCTTGCTGTAAGCACCACCGCCGATAACACGGCCCCATGACACGCCCCACCACACATCTATTTTTGAGTCGACTAAAAAACACGGCCCCATGACACGACCCACCACACATCCACTGGCCTCTGCCCGTTTGACCAATGACTCAGGAGTCAGTACCGCTATGCCCCCTGCCTGGTCCCATCCCACACTTATAATATCACGCCCCTGCCTGCCCCCCCATCACCTTGTGCCGTTTGATCAGCTGCAGTAAGAACACATTCCAAGAGACCACAGGCCCAGCTTCGAGGTGCCGCAAAAGGCCTCTATGCCACAGCCTGCCCCATGAACCAGTGTCTCTATGCCGCTATCTCCACCCCTGCCCGCCCCCGTGACTCTATGGCTTAGCGCTCCTGTGTCTCTACGCCCCGGCCTGCCCCATGACTCTCTGCCGTTTGATCAGCTGCAGCAGAAACACATTCGCCCGCACCACTTCTGCTTGCCTGTGTTGAAGCGGGAGACACACCGTAAGTTTCAGTGTGAGGAGAGAGACTGCAGCAGCACCTGCTGTGGAATCGCAATGCGCTGTTCTCCGGGGGTATTCGGCCCCACCACTTCTGCCTGCCTGTGCTCAAGCGAGAAACTCACCGCGAGTCCCACTGTGCCCCTCTGGCAGAAGATAAAATCACATGAATGCATGTTTTCAGAGTGTGAAAGGGAGGGACACGCCGCAAAACCTGCTGTGGAACCGCAACGCGCTGTTCACCGGGGGCATTCGACCGCACCACTTCTGCTTGCATGTGCTCAAGCGAGAAACCCACCGTGAGTTTCCCACTCCCAGTTCTGTCTGCCCGTTCACTTCACGCCCCAACACCTGAGGGGCGGGTGGCTGTTACAGTGACCCCGCAGCACCTGAGGGGCGGGTGGCTGCTACAGTGACGCCGCAGCACCCGCTGAGGAATCTCAGTGCTCTGTTTGCTGGGGGCATTCGGCCACACCCCTTCTGCCTTCCTGTGCTCATGAGAGAGAGACACACCGGAAGTTTCACCTGCTGCGAGGAGGGATTAGGCATGCACACCAACGAGAGAGGAAAGAGAATCACAGGTGAAGCACACAAACACGGCCCTACATATGTGTTCTCCCTTCTCAACCCTTATCCCTCCTTCTCCCTCCTCCTCCCTCCTCCTCCCTCCCTTACCAGGCCAGGCGATAGTGGCAGCAGTGACGGGCGGCAGCACTCGTTTCTTTCTCGGCACCGACAGCGCGCCTCACGAGCGGGCCACTAAGGAGGCGCCATGTGGCTGTGCCGGGATCTTCTCTGCGCACGCCGCCCTGCCTCTTTACCCCCGGGCCTTCGAGCAGGTGAGTGTGAGGTGTTACTGATGAGGTGTGACAAAAGACGACCAGGTGTGACCAGGTGTGACCAGGTGAGACCAGGTGTGACCAGGTGAGACCAGGTATGACCAGGTGAGACCAGGTGTGACCAGGTGAGACCAGGTGTGACCAGGTGTGACCAGGTGAGACCAGGTGAGACCAGGCGAGACCAGGTGAGACCAGGTGTGACCAGGTGTGACCAGGTGTGACCAGGTGTGACTAGGTGTTACCAGGTGTGACCAGGTGTGACCAGGTGAGACCAGGTGTGACCAGGTGAGACCAGGTGAGACCAGGTGGGACCAGGTCAGACCAGGTGGGACCAGGTGGGACCAAGTGTGACCAAGTGTGACCACGTGAGACCAGGTGAGACTAGGTGTGACCAGTTGTGACCAGGTGAGACCAGGTGGGACCAGGTGGGACCACGTGTGACCAGGTGTGACCAGGTGAGATCAGGTGTGACCAGGTGAGACCAGGTGAGACCAGGTGGGACCAGGTGTGACCAAGTGTGAGCAAGTGTGACCAGGTGAGACCAGGTGTGACCAGGTGTGACCAGGTGTGACCAGGTGAGACCAGGTGTGACCAGGTGGGACCAGGTGGGACCAGGTGAGACCAGGTGAGACCAGGTGAGACCAGGTGAGACCAGGTGCGACCAGGTGTGACCAGGTGTGACCAGGTGTGACCAGGTGTGACCAGGTGAGACCAGGTGTGACCAGGTGTGACCACGGGAGACCAGGCGAGACCAGGCGAGACCAGGTGTGACCAGGTGTGACCAGGTGTGACCAGGTGAGACCAGGTGTGACCAGGTGTAACCAGGTGTGACCAGGGGAGACCAGGCGAGACCAGGCGAGACCAGGTGTCACCAGGTGTGACCAGGTGTGACCAGGTGTGACTTGGTGTTACCAAGTGTGACCACGTGTGACCAGGTGAGACCAGGTGTGACCAGGTGAGACCAGGTGAGACCAGGTATGATTAGGTGAGACCAGGTGAGACCAGGTGGGACCAGGTGGGACCAAGTGTGACCAAGTGTGACAGGTGAGACCAGGTGGGACCAGGTGTGACCAGGTGTGACCAGGTGAGACCAGGTGGGACCAGGTGGGACCAGGTATGACCAAGTGTGACCAGGTGTGACCAGGTGAGACCAGGTGTGACCAGGTGAGACCAAGTGAGACCAGGTGGGACTGGGTGGGACCAGGTGTGACCAAGTGTGACCAAGTGTGAGCAGGTGAGACCAGGTGTGACCAGGTGAGACCAGGTGTAACCAGGTGTGACCAGGTGTGACCAGGTGAGACCAGGTGGGACCAGGTGTGACCAGGTGAGACCAGGTGCGACCAGGTGTGACCAGGTGAGACCAGGTGTGACCAGGTGTGACCAGGTGAGACCAGGTGAGACCAGGTGGGACCAGGTGTGACCAGGTGAGACCAGGTGCGACCAGGTGAGACCAGGTGTGACCAGGCGAGACCAGGTGAGACCAGGTGCGACCAGGTGAGACCAGGTGTGACCAGGTGGGACCAGGTGAGACCAGGTGGGACCAGGTGGGACCAAGTGGGATTAAGTGTGACCAGGTGAGACTAGGTGTGACCAAGTGTGACCAGGTGTGACCAGGTGTGACCAAGTGGGAACAGGTGGGACCAGGTGTGACCAAGTGTGACCAGGTGTGACCAGGTGAGACCAGGTGTGACCAGGTGAGACCAGGTGAGACCAGGTGGGACCAGGTGTGACCAGGTGAGACCAGGTGCGACCAGGTGTGACCAGGCTTGACCAGGGGTGACCAGGTGAGACCAGGTGGGACCACGTGTGACCAGGTGAGACCAGGTGCGACCAGGTGTGACCAGGTGAGACCAAGTGTGACCAGGTGAGACCAGGTGTGACCAGGTGTGACCAGGTGAGACCAGGTTAGACCAGGTGGGACCAGGTGGGACCAGGTGTGACCAAGTGTGACCAGGTGAGACCAAGTGTGACCAGGTGAGACCAGGTGTGCCCAGGTGTGACCCGGAGAGACCAGGTGTGACCAGGTGATACCGGGTGAGACCAGGTGGGACCAGGTGTGACCAGGTGTGACCAGGTGAGACCAGGTGGGACCAGGTGTGACCAGGTGAGACCAGGTGCGACCAGGTGTGACCAGGTGAGACCAGGTGTGACCAGGTGTGACTAGGTATGACCAGGTGAGACCAGGTGAGACCAGGTTGGACCAGGTGTGACCAGGTGAGACCAGGTGCGACCATGTGAGACCAGGTGTGACCAGGCGAGACCAGGTGAGACCAGGTGCGACCAGGTGAGACCAGGTGTGACCAGGTGGGACCAGGTGAGACCAGGTGGGACCAGGTGGGACCAAGTGGGATTAAGTGTGACCAGATGAGACTAGGTGTGACCAAGTGTGACCAGGTGTGACCAGGTGTGACCAAGTGGGAACAGGTGGGACCAGGTGTGACCAAGTGTGACCAGGTGTGACCAGGTGAGACCAGGTGTGACTAGGTGAGACCAGGTGAGACCAGGTGGGACCAGGTGTGACCAGGTGAGACCAGGTGCGACCAGGTGTGACCAGGTGTGACCAAGTGTGACCAGGTGTGACCAGGTGTGACCAGGTGAGACCAGGTGGGACCAGGTGTGACCAGGTGAGACCAGGTGCGACCAGGTGTGACCAGGTGAGACCAAGTGTGACCAGGTGAGACCAGGTGTGACCAAGTGTGACCAGGTGAGACCAGGTGAGACCAGGTGGGACCAGGTGGGACCAGGTGTGACCAAGTGTGACCAGGTGAGACCAAGTGTGACCAGGTGAGACCAGGTGTGCCCAGGTGTGACCCGGAGAGACCAGGTGTGACCAGGTGGGACCAGGTGGGACCAGGTGGGACCAGGTGTGACCAAGTGTGACCAGGTGAGACCAGGTGTGACCAGGTGAGACCAGGTGGGACCAGGTGAGACCAGATGTGACAAAGTGTGACCACGTGAGACCAGGTGTGACCAGGTGTGACCAAGTGTGACCAGGTGAGACCAAGTGTGACCAGGTGTGACCAGGTGTGATCAGGTGTGACCAGGTGTGACCAGGTGTGACCAGGTGAGACCAGGTGCGACCAGGTGTGACCAGGTGAGACCAAGTGTGACCAGGTGAGACCAGGTGTGACCAGGTGTGACCAGGTGAGACCAGGTGAGACCAGGTGGGACCAGGTGGGACCACGTGTGACCAAGTGTGACCAGGTGAGACCAAGTGTGACCAGGTGAGACCAGGTGTGCCCAGGTGTGACCCGGAGAGACCAGGTGTGACCAGGTGGGACCAGGTGGGACCAGGTGGGACCAGGTGTGACCAAGTGTGACCAGGCGAGACCAGGTGTGACCAGGTGAGACCAGGTGGGACCAGGTGAGACCAGGTGTGACAAAGTGTGACCACGTGAGACCAGGTGTGACCAGGTGTGACCAAGTGTGACCAGGTGAGACCAGGTGTGACCAATTGTGACCAGGTGTGACCAGGTGTGACCAGGTGTGACCAGGTGTGACCAGGTGAGACCACCAGGTGAGACCAGGTGAGACCAGGTGTGACCAGGTGAGACCAGGTGGGACCAGGTGTGACCAGGTGAGACCAGGTGCGACCAGGTGTGACCAGGTGAGACCAAGTGTGACCAGGTGAGACCAGGTGTGACCAGGTGGGACCAGGTGTGACCAGGTGAGACCAGGTGCGACCAGGTGTGACCAGGCGTGACCAGGTGTGACCAGGTGAGACCAGGTGGGACCACGTGTGACCAGGTGAGACCAGGTGCGACCAGGTGTGACCAGGTGAGACCAAGTGTGACCAGGTGAGACCAGGTGTGACCAGGTGTGACCAGGTGAGACCAGGTGAGACCAGGTGGGACCAGGTGGGACCAGGTGTGACCAAGTGTGACCAGGTGAGACCAAGTGTGACCAGGTGAGACCAGGTGTGCCCAGGTGTGACCCGGAGAGACCAGGTGTGACCAGGTGAGACCAGGTGGGACCAGGTGGGACCAGGTGTGACCAGGTGTGACCAGGTGAGACCAGGTGGGACCAGGTGTGACCAGGTGAGACCAGGTGTGACCAGGTGTGACCAGGTGAGACCAGGTGTGACCAGGTGTGACTAGGTATGACCAGGTGAGACCAGGTGAGACCAGGTGGGACCAGGTGTGACCAGGTGAGACCAGGTGCGACCATGTGAGACCAGGTGTGACCAGGCGAGACCAGGTGAGACCAGGTGCGACCAGGTGAGACCAGGTGTGACCAGGTGGGACCAGGTGAGACCAGGTGGGACCAGGTGGGACCAAGTGGGATTAAGTGTGACCAGATGAGACTAGGTGTGACCAAGTGTGACCAGGTGTGACCAGGTGTGACCAAGTGGGAACAGGTGGGACCAGGTGTGACCAAGTGTGACCAGGTGTGACCAGGTGAGACCAGGTGTGACCAGGTGAGACCAGGTGAGACCAGGTGGGACCAGGTGTTACCAGGTGAGACCAGGTGTGACCAGGTGTGACCAGGTGTGACCAAGTGTGACCAGGTGTGACCAGGTGGGAACAGGTCAGACCAGGTGGGACCAGGTGGGACCAAGTGTGACCAAGTGTGACCAGGTGTGACCAGGTGTGACCAAGTGGGAACAGGTGGGACCAGGTGTGACCAAGTGTGACCAGGTGTGACCAGGTGAGACCAGGTGTGACCAGGTGAGACCAGGTGTGACAAAGTGTGACCACGTGAGACCAGGTGTGACCAGGTGTGACCAAGTGTGACCAGGTGAGACCAGGTGTGACCAGGTGTGACCAGGTGTGACCAGGTGTGACCAGGTGTGACCAGGTGAGACCATGTGCGACCAGGTGTGACCAGGTGAGACCAAGTGTGACCAGGTGAGACCAGATGTGACCAGGTGTGACCAGGTGAGACCAGGTGAGACCAGGTGGGACCAGGTGGGACCAGGTGTGACCAAGTGTGACCAGGTGAGACCAAGTGTGACCAGGTGAGACCAGGTGTGCCCAGGTGTGACCCGGAGAGACCAGGTGTGACCAGGTGGGACCAGGTGG